CTTGCCATGGTAAAGTTTGACAATCTTTGGAGGGGTAGTATCAATGATAAATGATTTAGATATGGCATTTGAGCTACCTCCAGCACGATCTTCGGCCTTGACAACTACAGAAAACACGCCGTTTGGCATCACCACATGAAGTCCCCCGGAAACAACACGACCTACGGTCTTTACTGGTGTCAAAATTTTAGCCGTGTCATACGAAAGCACGGTTAAACCAAAGCGTCTGATTCCTGAATGTTCATCATAGAAACTTAACGCGTCGCAAGTGTCAGGTGAGGCACTAAGTTCACTTCTATCTGCTGAACACCACTGCCATCGGGCCCAGGCTGCTTTGTTAATCCATGTTATTTCCAGTGGTGGTCCTTTCTGACCAGCTGTGACCAAACCGGTATGTGGCGGAATAAAATCTACTATTGCTCCATTACTGCTGCCATTCACACATATGCCTACTCTGTTGCATGCAACGACTGTAACATAATATTTCATTCCACTTTCGAGGCTGTCGCCACGAAGTAAAGCTTTCGTACTCAAATTGTTACTTCTGAACGCTGATTTGTCATCTAAACCTGCACTCGATCCCAGTCCTACGAAATACTCACCAATTCCACTTTCTGTGTCGGCAAACGCGTTTTCCCAATGCGCCGGAAAAACGTCGAATTCCTTGCTGTACTTTCTGTCTATCCCTTGAAGGCCATCTCTGATATAAGTCGATAAAACTGTGGGTGCTGTTGTATCCATGAGAATTCCGTCAGAGGAAATAGTTCTTCGGTAACCTGCCATGTCTTCAACTTTCACTGTGACGTGATACCTTCTCCGTTTTGTTATGCTAACACTAACAAATGTGACCCACGTGGTTTTGAGATCTTCTGACTCTTTCAGTGCCAAATCTCTTATATCGACGAATGAGTGGACGTCTTCTCCGCCCGGGTAAGTTCCTACGCCGGCTTGAATCGACTGGATACCACTGTCTTCATCATAGCAAGAGAACATCGCTGTGAGATTAGTAAGACGGGAAACAAAATCTCTGTCAACAACATCATTAAAACCAATCACGTCATGTGGTAACCCCTCGCACACCGGAATCGTATCGTCAGGGATAATTCCGGATACGTTAACAACAGCGTGAAGGCCAGCGGCATTTGTGCCTTTCAGTACGGCGGTATATGTTCTTCCAGACGTTAAACTTAAGCCATCGAGCAATGGAGACGTTTGTGTCAACGGTATTGTTGTGAATGATGTCACATCCTTCCTAGTGTTTTCGTCAATTAGTTTCCACTCGTAGTGAACTATTGGACTTTCGTTGTCTATAAAGTGTTCAAATTTCCCAGATACTCGCCGAACAGAGGGGATAAATTTTGCACCGTCTTTTCCGACTGTGAAGTTACGTGGTATTGGTGGAGTAGTGTCTATAGTTGTACCATCACTGCAAGCCACTGTGGCTAGCCCTAACTGATTGACGACAATTATCCGGGTGTAATACTTCGATCCACTTATGAGATTCAGCCCCGTCTTCTTAATAGTGTAACTCTCACCAATATATTGCAAAGGAAGAACATCAGCTTCACTTTCAGAAAATGTACATTTCCCTGACGATGAGATTCCCCATCTAATACTCGATAAATCCGCAAATGTTCCCTCAAAGCCATATTTCATCCCAAGACTGGTAGCATCCTTTTGATAGTCGATGTCGGTCGAAGAATCCCCGTCATTGATGAAAGTTATAACGGGTGATCTGCGTTTGGCAGCAAATACTGGACAGTGAGCAACATCACTTTTCAGACCACCACCATTAATTGCATACACGCCGACATAAACAGATCTTCCATGCATAATTTCAAGATTGGGTACCGTAAGACTTTGACGTTCTCCGTGTATAGAATAATGGTCATCTCCAGATCCAAAGATTGAGCCGATGGTAACAATATATGTCTCAATTTTCGTATCTTCGGCGAAACCTTGCCATTGAATGAAGTACTTTTTATTTCCGACCTGCTTGGCATTACATACTCCTACGACAGGGCGTGTATTGTCGATGTCGCGTTTGCAATTGCTGAATAAAGTTTTATGAATGGATCGCAATGACCACGTCCATTCTGCAAATGTTTTCTTTGGGCACCATTCAATTGAGATACGTATTGAAGCCCATTTCTTAAAACTTATTTTAGGACAAAGTCTATAACGATACCAAAGGTATACACGTATGCCTAGGGGGGTCATTTGCATTTTAAGCTCTACACAAGCGTCCAGTGGCCATTTGTCTAAACGTATCGATAGTTCTGGGATAAGATAAGTTTCCAAAATTTTCGCCTCTATCGTAATACCTGCTTCCACGATTACCAATGGCAGACTTGCCCCAGCATAAACAGTGAGCCACACACCAGGTATGAGAGCAAGACGCACTGCTTTGTCCCGTAAGCACAATGATATTCGAAAGTTTGCGTAGTAATACAAATCTGCTCCGAAGAAGAAGTACACTGGTATACCAAATACTGGAACGATAAAGCCCACTTCGGGAAGAATTGGAAGTGACCCTGCATAAAGACATTAATTAAAGGGTCATTAAACGTAGTCAAAATTCAATAGTTGAACGACTCACTTCAGTTTCGAGAACAATGAGAACTTTGGGTTTTGGACGATATTTTTTGTATTATATGATCACGGTTTCTGACATTTTCGGTCGGAAACAAAAATTTGCAAATTGGCATAATTCACAAAGTTCTGTAAATTTTGCGTTTTAAGACTAAATTAAAATGAAAGTGAAATCCAACTTTATTTCTTACTAATTTTTAAATTTTATAATTATCAATAAATATATATAACTACCAATTTTAGGTTCCCCTTCCATGTTCCAAATACAAGCCACCCCTTCAGTCGCTTGACGTCTGGTTCTGTGATGTTTTTCCAATTCCTGTGTGTATACATCCTTATCCAAAGTTTTTTCTAGAGCACGTCGCTTTCTACGGGTACCGCATTTCATCTCACCTATTGAAAATAAACGCTGTCGAGGGATTAACCAATTCCAACCCACTTTAAAGTAAAAACAGTTCTCGGTTATTGAAAATTCTGTTTTTAGAACCGGTACATTAAATTTAAAATATCGATCTTCAAAATCTCCCCCAATTTGTTGAATTTTGTCCTTTTCAGAGAATGTCCCACTTGAAAACGCCGCGACGACGTGTTCTGTGGTAACTGTTTGGATCGCCTCCAGACCCGTAGGTGTTCGAACGACTCTTAGAATACTGGACTTATCAAGAACTCCCGCGTCGATTTTATGGAATTCCAATCTGCACTGATAACCTGCAATTAAAGAACACTTGGCGACGCATGCGTATTTGATACCAAACTGTCGCACAATAGTAAATCCACGTGTGTGTTCCTCAGTAACAACAAGATAATTTTTCTCTTCTAATACACCTCCGAACGTACCGACATCATAGCTGTGCGCCTTATTACTTTCCAGAACCCAAATTTTGTTGTCACGGTCACCGTATGAAATTGATGTGATTTGATAATGAAGAGATTTTGTTTTACTAATGCTAATGGTTGAAGGACGTTTTAAAGACATGGTATAACGAATATCCGATAAGCGAACAGCGTAAAGACTGTTACCACTACTTATCCAAATGAGCGACTTGACAACCACTACACCGCCCATGTCGCCCCGAAAAGGCACACCTCCCTTTTCCAATTGGACAATTTTAAGGATTTCGCTATTTGAAGATCTTATGTCAACTACAACTAACAGTGAAGCTTTTTCTGCATTAGCTGCGACACCACGCATTCCCAGTAGCATTTCATTATTGGACAATTGAGCAATACCGCGAATCTTATAATCATCAAAGAGACCCGGTACAAGCCACTTTCCAGTTTTTGACAAGGATGTCGATGATAAATCATCCAAGTGCGGATATTTCCACAAGAATATTGTGCCAAGATAAAGCGCTGAAGATCGTCGTATTAGTCTTAGACAAACTTCAGCAGAACAGTGTTGGTACTGATCCCATTTCTTGTAATCCCGGATATCCAATCCTTTTTGACGTAACTGTACTGTATTAAGGAATGACGTAACCCTGTCAATGACGTTGTTCACATCTTCCGACACCTTCGTTACAGTTTCGCCATAGTGTTTCAGTTTTCCTTCAAAAACTTCGGTGAAATCTGATGTTTTAAAAAGTACATCTAAAATCGTACCTTTCAATGGATCAACAATGTTATTGCACGTTTGGGTGAAATCAATCATACTTTTAACAATTGTCTGAAGCGGTTGTAGAATTGGACCTATAACTCTAGAATTTTTTCCTAACAGAAACGAGACGTTAAGTTTTTGCTGGATGTTTTTAAGTTTTGTCTGGAAAGGCTCAATGTTGTCACGAGATACTTTTTCCAAACCAGTGAAAACCTCTTCGACCAATGTTTTAATCATTTCTTGAGTTTTGTCGGCCTTTCTGGTGAGTTCGGCAATGTTTTTCTCTATCTTAACAGGCTGTGCAGCAGAGCGTTTTTCTACCTATAGGTTACGAACAAAAATATGTTGATGATTAGATGTGGTTTAACCTACCTATACCTGATGCTTGTGATGTTACTCTGAGTGTATATCCACACCGGGCAAGCTTCAAAAATATGCCTGGCCACGGTGGGAATCGAATCTACGACCTTTGGAATACTAGCCCAATGCTCTGCCAACTGAGCTACGCGGTCAGGTCGGTTCGAGTATGTGATATTTCGGGACCGAATCTAGTTTCTTCGATATCAATGTAATCACAATGATATCGAAGAAACTATAGATTCGGTCCCGAAATATCACATACTAGAACCGACCTGACCGCGTAGCTCAGTTGGCAGAGCATTGGGCTAGTATTCCAAAGGTCGTAGGTTCGATTCCCACCGTGGCCAGGCATATTTTTCAAGCTTCCCGGTGTGGATATACACTCAGAGTAACATCACAAGCATCATATTCACCCGAGTACATTGCACTAACACAGAAAAAAATCATGGCTACCTATATTTGTTAACAAGCAAACACATGCTGTGGTTTCGAAAGGGTCAAAGATCAATAACAAAGTTTTTCACACGCCCATTGCAACGAATTGTGATCACGAGGTACACAAATATGTCCTTCGTAATTGACAAAACTATCACTGACAAACCGCCTAAAAAACGGTCGTTTCGCAGTTTACTGGGAACAATAGTAAGTGAAGCCATTCTCAACAGTGTCCGTTTCGCTCGCGCAGCCAAAGCGGAAGAAATAAATCATGCCGTAATGGAAAGTGGCGTTGTGTTTCAACGAGCAATGCCGAAGCGTAGCACTTGCGCTGATATGGATTACAACAAAAAAGAATATAAAGCAAGATTTGACAGAACCAGAAAGCTATGCTGCTGCAGTGCATGTTTCAGAAAAAGAAAACAATATAACAAACATACTTGCAGGGAGGTGAGTCCGGGATTGGACGCACCGAGGGTGGCTGGAAGTTTCCCGAGCTCACCTCGCCACCCGAGGTGCGTCCAATCCCGGACTCACCGAACCTGCAAGTATGTTTGAGATTGAACGCACCTCCGCGTAGCCAATAGGAAAGCCGCTAATACGCTAGGTATGAGATAATGTTTAAAACTTACTTGACTTTCACGCCCGTCGTCAACGCCGGAAAACTTGCCTGTGATTCTTCGAGACAAATCCTTAATCTTTATGATCTCTTCTTTGAATGAAAATGTTTTGATCAATTTCGAAATATTCTTTATTTTTTCGAAAATTCGTGATACTTCTTCCACACTATCCCTGCACGTTTCCAGTTTATCCTCAAAGTTAAAGTTATTAAATTTCTTTTTAATTTTCTCCATTTTATTTGAAACGCTTTGGGCTTGCTTTTTTAATGAGTTAGATAAACACGTTCCTCCAGAAATACACTTTTGCAAACTCAAACTTTCCCATTCGTCTGGCAACAGTTCCCAAAACGCTTTAACTTCAGATTTCATGGTGGTATATTCATTGTAGGCCTGTTTCCCGAATGATATCGCTTCTTTCCCACAATTTGCGATTATGTTATTGAAGATAGAATAAATGTCCGAACAATTTGGTAACTGGCGGATTTCTTGCAACACTGGCGAAAAATTTTCAGAGAAAGGTCGCAATTCTAGTAAAACTGATTCGATTTCTTCAACTGAGTCTGACATTTCCTCTAGATCTCTTCGCGCTTTTCCCAGCGGAGTTTTTAGAAGATCCAATTTCTCAACAGACTGCGAGATAAGAGAGTCAGTTTTTTTTGTAACAAATTCACGGAATGTTTTAAGTAGATCTCCACCCTGAATTTTCTTGATGGTATCGTCGGCAAAGGAATGAAATTCATCGCAAAGGTTTCGTAATTTTTCATCAAAGTCCAAGTTAAATTGCTGTCGGATGTTAAGTTTCCCAAATTCGATTTTCCAACGCTTTGCATTTGTTGCAAAGTCTCGAATCTTATCTGCAAAATCGTATGCTTTCTGCGCGTGCATGGGTAAATTGTTCAGGTGTTGAATGACATTGTTTATGTTTCTGAAAACTTTATGAATGTCCGAGAAAACTTTGTTTTCGGTTTTGATTAACGATAGGAACTCATCGATGGTTCGACTAATGATTGCAACCTTACCCAAGTGTTTCGCTAGATTTTCCTGGTGCCATGCTTCCAGGTTTTTTACAACCACTTTAAATTGATCAATAAAAATAGCAAGTCCTTCCGAATTAGAAGTAACAAAGTCAGTTATTTCGTTCACGGCGTTTTGCGCTGAGGACTGAATTTTATCCAAGATGTCACCAGATATGTTCACAGTTTTATAACAAAGTCCCGTCAATTTGTCTGTGGAGTTCGCTGCGAATTCTACAGTAATATCAGCAAGTTCTTTGACATTTTCCAAAGAGTCTTCCAATGCGGTTAAATATTGCTCAACAAAGGTCTTCGCAGTACTTGATACATTCTGCTTTAGTTCGTCAATAAATTCATCCACAAACAAGGTGATGTTAATAACTTCTCCAATGGCCTGCTGGGCTTCACGTTTAACATATCTGATTCCAAGAATCATATCTTTCTCAAGGTTTTCTCCGAAGACTTCCAACTTTCCTGCTGATTTTAACATGAAGTCTTGCAGTTTGCAAACATTTGCGAGTGCTCCTTTCGAGAAGTCTCCAATGATCTCTGATAGTTTATCTAAAAAATTGGCACTATTGCTATGGTCGAACAGTTTCGAATCGAACTGGTTTAGAAGATTGTGGAAGAATTTAACAACGAGTTTCAACCACTGTGCTATGTTGGAATTCCCTGTATCCTGGAAGAGCTCGTCAGACTCAAACTTGATTTTAAATTCAGGTAGGATTTCAATAAAAAATTGCTCAAAATTAACGTTTGGATTACTTAGACTTAGAAAAACTCTAGTTAAATAGCGAAAGAACTTTCGAAATTTTGCGAAGTCAGGGCCCGAAAAATCAGTAGTAAAGTTGAATGTTATTCTCCAGTCAAAAGACAAGCCAAAGTCAAAATCTTCGTTATTGTTCAAATCTAGCTTGAATTCCGGGAGATAAAGTCGTGGAAGATCAATGTTAAACATATCTCGGAAAACAGAAAGCATTTCCAGGAAACTGTTTCCAAAATGTACCAAACGCAACGTTGTAATCTTAAACTTGTCCAAAGTCGGGATGAAGTTAAGCGTGATATTAAAATGGAACATTTTAAAGAAATTTTTCGGAACACCAAAACCTAACTTTTTAAAATAATCCCCTACGGCATCACTAGTTGAGTGAAATGGTCCACTAATGAGTGTCAACAATTTCTTTATGTTGAAATTTACCGGAAAATTTCGTGGAAGCCTAAACCTTAGTCTTGAGAAAATGTCTACAAGTTTGTTTAGAAAATGAAATGCTCCTCCAAAGGACCCTGTCGATAGATTTATATTAGAAAGGTTTAGGGTGAGCCTCTTGACCAAATCACCAATTTTTAACCAAAATTCACTTGCACGCCACGCGCTTCGAAGATTTATCACAATTCCATTAAAAAATTTTCCAAAGCGTGTAACCTGAATTGTGCGGGTAAGAAATTTGACAGTTTGTGAAATAAAGTTCACGAATCTATCAGGAATAAATGGCAGATACTTTTTCAGTTTGTCGAGAAATCGTTGAATATGCTGGGTAAAAATAATCGAAATTCCATCAATATCTGCTAGAATATCATCGGCAGTATCGGCGATTGTGTGAATTAAATCCTTAGGGATGTCGTTCTTAAATCCTGCCCCCATTTTGAATGCCGCCTTTCCATTGACTATGTCGAAACTCCAAAGGATCACGTGAGCCCGAAACAACGCCAAATTATCCAAGTTTACTTCAAAACTCCCACCAAAAATCCCGACTCTTAGTTTCACTTGGTTCACAAATCGCAGGACTGCTTCTGCACCAGCTTGACCACCACCGAATGCTCTTCGCCATTCCTTTTCTACTCCCAAAGAAAATTCTCTAGGCTTTAATTCTGGGATAAGTGCCCTTTTCTTTCGCCGAATAACGGACCTCCGTTTTCGTAACTTTTTTATCACATGATGAGATTCATCGTTATGGTTTTCTAGAAATTCAGTAATCTTAGAATCTAGTTCGTCGCCTTCTTCAGTTATCCACAGAGCATCTTCGATGGCATCGCGCAATTCGTTGGTAAGGTTCTGACGCCGTTCTATGAAAACCTCTATCACTCCTGCTTTAACTGTTACGTGTTCGTCATTTCGAAGAATGCGTAATAAGTGATGATCAGTGTACTGCGTTGGGAGATTTCTCAAAGCCGAAACTGCAAAATATCGAATACCGGAGCTATCATGATCCAAATATCTGGTTATCAAGTTGAGAGACGACATGTGACCTAAATTTCCGAAAGCACATACATGACTCCATATATACTCATCGTGTGACTGGCTTTCTTCGTCATGGAATCGTGCTGGATGTGTCTTGAAACTTTGGTGTAGATGTTGCGCGATGCTTTCTGACAGCGATCTATTGTAACCAGCGTCGTGACACTTGCGCACTAAACCTGATGTCACTAACATAGCGCGAACAGTTATCTCGTCGCTCTTACTAGAATTCTTATGAAGAGACAACAGAGCTTGTAACAGTTCTGGGTACAAAGGTCCTGCGGGGATAAAGAATACCGCCTCCAGAAGCGTTGCATGTTCTTTATCCGAAAGTGGCCGTGGTTCCTCAGATAAAATTGCTCGGCTTAAAATCTTCTGGGTTTTACAATCTCCTCGGACAACAATAGCCCCAACTAGCCCTGACCATGTGGAGAAATTTAAATGAGACCGTTCCAACGTCAAGTTTACAATGTTTTCAAAAATCTCGTCATCAGTTTTCGCCAGATAATGAAACTCCTTGATGCATTGGGATAGTTCACTTTCTTTGACAGAAGGGTCGGAATAACATCGAAGTAACTCGTAGAATGTACGGCTCAGTTTATTGGGATCACCAATCGAAGACCATTTCAAGCGACGTATTCCATCATAACTCAAGGTATCTTGCTTCAGACTTTCTAAAGACGAATCCAGTTTTTCTGAAGACCTTTTGCTTCTCCTATTAGTTGGATTAACACAGCGAAGGAGGTGAAGATGGCTTTCTCCAGATGCTTTTAGCCCTAAATCAGGTTGCTGTTGAAATTCTGGTTTGTTCATAGGTCGATTATAAGGTTTGTTGCTCCGTAAATAAGAAAAATGCGTTCTTTTCGCATTTGTTATCGCACCGTCTTTAATTTCCAAAGAGGTATAATAATGACTTTTGCTGTGTTGTTCTCCCTCTACCGGTCGCCCGTCCGCATGTTTAAGGTAATCATCACTGCTCCATTTCTTCGTCAGGTGTAGGTTGGTGAAGTTTCTTTCGTTGACGTCATAATAAGCGAGATGAATTCCGGAGTCGTCTTCTTCTTCTGTACTGTATGAGATGTTCTGGGCATCTCGATTGATTTTCAAATTGAGTGCGCTCACCATTCCTAAGAAACATGAAATGGTTTATGATGGTTTTAGCTCGACTTGTTTGTTTGTACCTTTGTAATTGATCATGCTTGTGCTTTTTACAAATGCCAACGATTACAATGATTTTTCACGGCATAATTCTCACAAAAGTATTAAAATTACCTTTCTTTAGTCCAACAAGTTCTGGTTGATCGTCGTGGGGGTAAAACACTTGTGTAATGTTCCCATTAACATCTTGAAGGAAGAAAAATGGCTTAGACAACTTTTCTTCCAGGTTTTGGTCAACAGTATGTTTGATATGCTTGCCATTTTTTAAACGAATGATGCGTACATTACGCAAGCGTAATCTTGTGATGTAAGCATCGTTTTGCGACGAATGCTGATTTAAAACTTCAACGTCGACCTATTGATATAATATAAAAAAATGTTTTCAAAACAATATCTAATTTCAATGACCATTTTTTATTACGAAGGCGCCAAAAGAGAAAAATTATGACTGACCTGCACTAAGAATGGTCGCCTGGAACACGAAAAAATGTCTGCCGCACTAGTACCAAAGGTCATCAACAACCCAGCATGACACCTGTACCAGTGTCAGGGCTTTCAAGACCAGGGGGAAGTACTGTTACATTCGTGAAGACTCAATCAAGATGGACCTCTGATACTCACACAGTCCTAATTTGGGGGTGACATTTTAGTTTCATAATGACATGCCACATTATAAAAAGGTTTTACCAAGATCTTAGCATCCTTAAATCATCAAGCAGTACCTTTGTCCGAGATTAGATCAAGTGCTACACGAGGGCGTATAAAAAACGGAACCCATCTTTTCTAATTTTAGTCAATTTTACTAAATCGATGATTGGTTAAAGACATCAAAATTCCCGCGGTAGTTCCGGACGTCTATATAATGTGAGTGCAGAACAAAACAAAACACAAAAGCAATTTTATGTTGAAAAAGCAATTATATTCGCAATTTTTACAGGCACAAATTGAAAATTAAAGTCAGAAATTACTCTTAAAATTGTCACAAAGCTGTCCTCCTTGAATACATTAAATAAAAAATATTTCTTGCCATTAAGTACTCGTAAAATTGAGTAGAATGATATTAAAGAAATTAACTTGTTTTCGAAGTATTAGTGACAAAACGCACTTATGTCCGGCGAGAGATTTATAATACCGCTCGTGCGAAATATTATAAATATTGAATTTATTGATGAATTAATTTTGCCATAAACACACAATAGAATAAATTATTTGCGGCCGAGGAAGTCCAAAATAGAAACATTTGCACTACCTCTGCAGTAGTCTTAATAACATGTATTATATAAGAATTAAGATAAAACTAAATATCCAAATATGATAGATTGGAATTTGTAAGTAAAATTGAAATTTGTTTTTATTACGCAGTGTTTACCGTATTTAGTCAGAAAGACTTAATTGTCATAATCCTAGTGCACACATTTCCTTCAAAATCATAAACCCTAAACTTTGAGCGCGCAAGGGATGGTGGGTAACTCCCTATTTAAAGTCTTAAACTCGGTATATTTGCTCTGCGACGATGGTAGGGCATATATACTAAACACTTTCAATGTAGCGCCATTTGGTTCACTGAGCTAATGTCAAATCTAAGGCTCCAAATAAGCATTCCCCACCATACCTTGCACGCTCAATGTTTAAGCTTTAAGAGACAATGTCCACTAAAACCGAGCAAAATCGAGAATACGTGGCACATGAGGAAAAATAAAAAATCTTCTTATTTTTTCCAGTGATACTCTAATGTGTGCTCAGAAACGTGGTGGGGTTTGTTTTCTGAAATATTATTTTAAACGCCGAAAATTATCAAAACCTCACACATACCCGAGATTCGCGAAATTAGCAAAAAAAATTGTGAGCTACGGCCTTTCGAAAATTTCGTTTTTCTCAATTGGCGTGTGATGAAACCTCACCTTTCGTTTTTAAACGTGTTTATAAGATGTTTATAAAGGCCGTGGGTCCAATTTGCAATTTTTGAAATGATTTTTCAATGTCAAGACAAGCGTGTAAAAATCGTCTTTTTTTGCGATCCAAATAATTTTAAATTGTTACACTTTTTGAAAATTAATTTTCCGTATCCGGGAAAACTCCAATTTCCTTGAAATTTACGGAATTTAAAGACAGACTGTTGCTCTAAAACCTGATGTAAAAATTATTTTGGGGCTTTTTGTTACGGCGGAATTATACTGACTATAATATCGAGGAAATCACAAAAAAACCCCTGAAAAATCCTCAGACAATTAGGCACTTTGCTTCAACTATAGACAGTCGAACCTTAATCATTCTTGCTAGTTTTCTCTTGTTATTGATAGGAATATAAGACGTAGATAATTTTAAACTAGTTTGCCTATTTCTAGATAAAAATACGCTGTTAAACTCTCCAAGACTAAGATTTCTGCTTCAAATTCTTGTTTCAATTGATCGATCCATGCGCGCCAATTAAAATAAACTAGAAACACTTGTACACTCGCTAGATTCAAGGCTATATATACTTACTATATAAACAGTCAATCATAGGCGTACCGGGCGGGGGGGGGGGGCGGTAGCCCCCCCAGTTTTTTGGGCAGTCGGGCAATATTCGATCAACAGTCGGGCAATTTTGGTTTGTAATAAAAATAAATGGGACAAATTCTGTCAATTTAGTCGAAAATTCAGCAATTGTGTGTTGTCTGGAAAATTTGTGTGATGTTCCGAAAAATTTTGGTATGTCCGGGATAAATTTTTTGACCCCTAAAATGGTACACTGACCGAAATTTTTTTGGCGACGGGGGGAGGGGGGGGGAGGTCGCCGAAATAAGTTTTCCGGGAAAAATTTTTTATGTACTAGTCGGGCATAATCCCGAATAGTCGGGCAAATTTCTTTCCGCCCCCCTAATTTTTTCCTTCCGGTACGCCCATGCAGTCAATTACTTATATTTGAGCATGTTGGGCTCTAAGCAGTTCAGTTTAAGCGTCATACTTCGGCCTTATTTTCATTGAAGCCGGGCAAGTTCAGTCGTTTAATTAAAGGGACAGGGCCGTTCCTAGCGTGATAATTGGGGGTGTATGTTCATATATTCGTCTTCTGCCCGACGGATTTCTTTTGAAAGCGATTGTTTTTACGGTAGCGAGCATGAATATATGAATATACCCCCCCCCCCCATTATCGCGTCTAGGAACGGCCCTGTTGAGGAGGGATATGATCGGAAATAGCATGAATATAGAAATTAAATTCCCTTATCTGAAAGAACTTTTAAAATGACGTGGAAAACATTTAAAAGCTTTTTTTAAACCTCGCTTATTTCTCGACCTTAAGAAAAGCTTCTGTTGTGATGGAGCTAAACTGTGGAACTCATTACCTAAATCAATTGACGCTTATAACGAGGGTCGTAGGGTCGAAAATTGAGTAAATTTTTATCCATTTCAAAAGTTTTACAACCATTTTGAAAGCTCCCAAAAGCGGCAAAACAATTAGTTTTGCTCTCCAAACTGAAAAATTTCGCCTACGGCTATAATCTATATGTATACTGAAAGTTTCGCTGAAGAACTATAAGTCTGATGCGAGGTTTGATGTTTGAAAGTATACGTATTTTAATATACATCGGAATTTAAAATATACAAACATGGGCGATAATCAGAGGCGATGATACAAAATTTGCATTTCGCCAGTGCCGTAGCTAGCTTGATAATTGGGGGGGGGGGGCAGATATTCATATATTTGTGTTCACAGACCATAAAAACAATCGATTTCAAAAGAAATTAATAACGCAGAACATAATGAATATCTGCCCCCCCCCCAATTATCGAGCTAGCTACGGCACTGCTCGTGAGAAATTTGATTATAAGAGGCAGTTTATATGGTCCCGCTTACCCGGGATTCAATGAAGTGTAACGTATCTTGATCGAGCAATTGAATTACGTGTTTCAGCCCTAAACAAAAGTTAGATAACTTTAAATATTTTTTAAACGAAATTAGGAATGCGCCTGAAGTTATGTAGTGAAAGAAGACGATTAATAGCATTCAACAACATTTGGTTTTTTGTTTAAGACATGGAATTTCATACAATTTGTAACGAGCAATTTTGTTATATCATGAAGTGCGACTAATTTACATTGCTCAAAATACGCACGTCACACTTCATTAAATGACAGGACCCGGGGAAGCGGGACCATGGCCCCAACTTAATGGCATGGCGGCGACATACAGAGTTCTGAAATTGCTCAGAACTTCAACTTAACGATACTCCCTATAGGGTATGACATCGTGTTTACAAATCTGATATGTTGGATAAGTTGCAGAAAAGTATGGGTAATATCTTCATTTTTTGCAGTTTGTCATGGATAATGTAGCTGCTTAAAATTAATCAATTGTCAGTATTTTAATTAAAGCCGGGTTACAGTCCGTAATGTAAACAAACGCTTTGTTTACATTTTGAACTGCTATATTTCTTAAAATATTATGAACTGTCAGAAAATTTAACACTATTTTGGTTCGCTATACTTTTAAATAAGTATGAGCTAGTGTTTATGTTCAGAAATATACAAAACATGCGAAATTTGCACAATTTTGAAATCCAGTAGTCTACCTTTGTTATGAGCAGAACCGATGCGCAGAACCGATGCGCAGAACGGACTGTAACCCGGCTTTAAGGGTATATTATTTAAATGATAAATAAAGGTCCGCATGATTTTGAAAAAAGAATGATTATTAGCAAATTGGTTTCTTAAAAGAGCAAGTCGCTTACATGCAGTTATTGTGCATATAACAAAGTAAATTCAGCGTATGTTCTATACATCAGGTTTGATATTACTTTATAATTTCTGTGTATTCGGAAGTTTATTTATACAAACTGTCAAACACGTCACTAATTACATTGACATTGTCATTGTAGTCACATCGCGAGTTTAATAAAATCTAGCCCTAATCTCAATGATTTATGCGACTACTTCAGAGAAAACTAAGCACATATATTTCAGTTTGAAAAAAGTAGATAATACGGATTGATTTTACGAGCTATCGAGACTTTGAGTAGTGGGTTTAAGCATGCTATCAATAACTGATCTTTTGTCTATTAATTATTATGTGTCAAGTCACGCGCACGGAGCTTTTGCAACATGATGTTCATATTGACTATTTATTTCTCTAAAATCCCGATAAACAAGCAAAATAATTTAAAATAATTTATAATTTATCTGTCAAAACTAAATAACAAGAGAAAACAAGTATAAATGCTCACGTTTCGACAGTCTATCTGAGCAGGCTGTGTCTAGACATACTGCCTGTCTATAAGTGTCTGTCTACATAATCGGCTGTATATTATAGACATTATAATTTCGTGATAACAAAACACCCCATAATATTTTTTACACCAGATTTGAGAGCAACATTTGCTCATACATTTGTCTAAATTTGAAGGAAATCGGAGTTTTACCGGAAAGGGAAAATTGATTTTCAAAAAATGTACCAAACTTAAAATTTTTTAACTTAAGGTTTTTCTTGTGATTTTCCCGATATTATAGTCAGTATAATTCCGCGGTAACAAAAAGCCCCAAAATAATTTTTACATCAGCTTTTAGAGCAACAGCTTCTCTTTAAATTCCCTAAATTTCAAGGAAATTGAAATTTTCCCGGATACGGAAAATTAATTTTCAAAAAGTGTAACAATTTAGAATTTTTTGGATCGCAAAATAAGGCGATTTTTACACGCTTGCCTTGACTTTGAAACATCATTTAAAAGATTGCAAAATAGACTATCGTTGTTTATAAACATCTTATATACACGTTTAAAAACCGAAAGTGAGGTTTCCTGAAGACGCGAACTGAGCAAAACGAAGTTTTCGAGAGGCTATGACTCACTATGTTTTTAGCTAATTTCACGAATCTTGGGTACATGTCAGGTTTTGATAATTTTTCGGCGTTTAAAATAATATTTCAGAAAACAAACCCCATCACGTTTCTAAGTATACATTAGTGTATCACTGGACAAATTAAGAAAACATTTCATTTTTCATCATGTGCCACCAGTTGCTCGGTGATAGTGGAGATTCCCTCTTAAGACGTTTTGATATAATAGAGCAAAATCTTAAAAACAATGCCGAAAATGCTATAGAGCATTTAAACAACACCTTTTTTTGGATACGAATTGATAACCTTCAGTTTAATTAGTTATCATGAACTGACAGCAGTCTGTTTATACACTGTGGCAACTACCTCTCATAATTATTGCGTGTTTTATATAATAAGGAAACACGGAAAACATTTCCTAGTTTTAAAATTTCCCATTCTTTAAAAAAAGCAAAATCTTAAAATAGTACACCTATATTTAGCAAACAATACGGAAAATGCTAGAGCATTTAAACAACGTCTTTTTTGGATATTACAACAGCCCTTATAAAATGGCTATCTTTAAAACAAGGAACGGGGAATCGGGGAATGGGAACGGGGAATGGGAACGGGGAATAGGAATGGGAGAGTTAGCAAAATTCTACTGTATCACGTTCTCAAAACATCTACTGTTCTAGGTGATGCGCATGCACAAAGCTATCACGTGCACACTTGTTTTCATATACTGAATGAGTTTCACCCTGCAGAACCATTTTCAGACGATATGATTCTAAAAAATGCTGTTTTTGACCTGGACCAATGTTATAATGAAATATATCAAAACGAAGATCGCGCGGTGTTTGGCAAGGGGCCATATGAGGTACGACCTGAGTTTCAACATCTTGCTGTTGACGAAAAGCAGTGGGGTTCTCTAAGCCACGAAGAAAGAAAGTCCAGACTTGAGAAGTACGTAAACAGTGGCATGGATTGCAAGAAAGATCTCTCAAAGTGTAAACGCAAGGACCGTGATGATTCGTCTACCCCGTCGACACCGGTAATCTCAATGACTGCCTCTCGGACAGAAAAAATGTCCATTTTCACCTCAGAATAGCATGCATAAGAGCGTGCACGGTATCCGGAATTTCCAGCTAGTGCCCTTGTTGTTCCTCCCAATTTTCGCCAACATTTTCGACAGGAACACGTTGAGAGATTGAACGCGGAGTTTGGATTGACAATTTAGATAAGTGGAAGGCGGATAAGCTTACTTTTCATGGTATTCAACCTCTTCATTATCAGGCTATATAGTATTCAACACTGGTATTTCCGCAGTATTAGGGAGCTTTAGATTTGACTACGAGTACGACTACGAGTACGAGATTTGATCGCGTGCGAGAAAATTACGGTGGTCGTTTTCGTTTCCATTCAAATGTTGCTTTTATAGCAGTAAACCAAGAACGAACGAAAAAGTTTCATAAACTAAATCTCCTGCAGCTAAAATCCCCTACAAAACGTGTAAATAAGTCATAACATTATGAACAGGCCAGATATTTAGCACTAATATATTATTTGCGCTGGATAAACGCTATATAAATGCTACAAATTATTTTTGGAAAACAAAAAAAAGCCAACTTTTTTGTTTTTTTGAAAAGGCGTCGTGAGGACTACGAGATTTCTCCACAATTTCGTACTCAGATGGGCGACGAGTACGACTTTTTTGCGTCAGTACGGGATGGCGTAAGCATACAGCATGCGTTTAGCTTGACGAATCTCGTAGTCGTACTCGTAGTCAAATCTAAAGCTCCCTAATAACAGCAGGAATGAGACCTGATTAACATAGTTTAGTTCTTATAACTGAAAGCACATAATAGTTCTTTAGTTTTCACGAGTTTTCGGTTGTAGCACTAATTTTGATATATTTCATTATAACATTGGTCCAGGTCAAAAACAGCATTTTTTAGAATCATATCGTCTGAAAATGGTTCTGCAGGGTGAAACTCATTCAGTATATAAAAACAAGTGTGTACGTGATAGCTTTGTGCATGCGCATCACCTAGAACAGTAGATGTTTTGAGAACGTGATACAGTAGAATTTTTCTAACTCGAAGAGTTATTCCATTAAAATGCACCGCAATGGCTTAAATTTTGTGAAACGAAATCCAACACAAATCCCTGTTAACCGAACATGTGCTAACTTGAACAATTTTCGCCTCCCATTCGAGATAGCGAGATTCTACTGTATATTAGATGGCACTTTGCATGTATGATTATTTTAGCAATAAAAGTTGACTATACCGCTGAAACAAAGCCGAATATAAGATGGGAGTCATTCGCGGCTAACGATAAACAGTGCTTGCAATTCAACTTTATTCTATTTACGAAAATAGCTATGAATTATCATAGATCATAATAAATTAAACATAGCAGAATGTGTGCGCGATATAAATTTGTTGAATGTATAAAATGGACATTCTCAGCTCGGCTGCTTTTTCGTTTTTTTGCAATTTGTACTTTGTAGATTCACAAAGCTTTCGATCCGTGAGGGCTACAGAGTATAAATTATATTTTTTTCACCATGCAAACATACAAAGAACTTATTCGTTTTTTTAAGGTGGCTCGCTACAGTTTATAGAAATGTTGAAAATGCGTAAACTAGATCAACCTTTTTGAAGAGATGATGCTCTTTACAAATCGAAATTTGTATAGTATATATACAGCGACAATCAAACAGTCGAAAATTGGTCAGAAAAGTGACGTCACCACTGTTGCTATGGCAACAATGACGATTCAAGATGGCCGATATTTTGGCTTTGAACGCATTTTACTTTAAAAAAGGGTCGGTTACCCCCATTTTTTATTTCAGAAAACATTTTCTTATAGTGCAATGCACTATCTGACTAATTTTAAAAAAATTCTGTAATGCCAAATTTAAAAAAAAATTATAAACATGGTTTTTCGAAATAATTTTTTTTTTGCATTACAGAATTTTTTTAAAATTGGTCAGATAGTGCATTGCACTATAAGAAAATGTTTTCTGAAATAAAAAATGGGGGTAACCGACCTTTTTCTAAAGTAAAATGCGTTCAAAGCCAAAATATCGGCCATCTTGAATCGTCATTGTTGCCATAGCAACAGTGGTGACGTCACTTTTCTGACCAATTTTCGACTGTTCGATTGTCGCTGTATATATAATATACAAATTCGATTTGTAAAGAGCATCATCTCTTCAAAAAGGTGATCTAGTTTAAGCATTTTCAACATTTCTGTAAACTCTAGCGAGCCACCTTAAATGATGTTTTTTTTATGATTGCCGTTCGCGTTCCCACTTCCGTTCCCACTTCCGTTCCCATTCCCATTCCCAGTTCCCATTCCCCGTTCCCTAACCCCGTTCCCATTCCCCGTTCCTTGTTTTAAAGATAGCCCTTATCTCCAGTGTATTGCCGCTAAAACGTTTTAAAGTGTGAAATTACAGTCACCACATATCAGCACATTGTTGCTGCAAACAATGGCGGAGACAAAGACCAGGACAGGAGAAAGCCGACGTTAACTGTTAATTAAGAAACATTCCTGCACAACATCGTTTTCCTTCACATATTTCCGCATTTTATAAGCGGTAGATATAGATATTGTAAGGGAGCTATAGTAATAAAACCAGAAATACGTACCAAAGTCACCTAACGCTCGCCTGCATGTAGTTACTTTAACTGGTTTAAAAACGAAAACGCATGCATTGCCTTTTTAAAAGTATACATCCTGTTTCATCCGCGCGACTTTGTCCGGCCTGATTACAGGCAAGCTGTCAAATGGTCAAAGTTATAAATGTTTAAAAATTTAAAAGAAACAGATGAAAATCAAAGGTATATTATTCATTGGGAATATGCCGCGCATTTATGTAGTATTTAAAACACGAGAAGGAGTGTTTTATCATATTTAAAACGCGAGGCGCAGGCGAGCGTTTTAGATATGATAAAACGCGAGTTCGAGTGTTTTGAATAGCTTAAAATACAACTACAAAAGAATACTAATTAGGATGAACAATTATATAAAGAATACTAATGAAGATTAGTTTTATCAGTTATAAAGTCACTCCACGTGACATATTATGGCTGACATGATTTGCCACAAGGTTTATGGATTTTTAATGAGTATTTTAATTGTATATACTATGCAAATATTAAATAATATCAAATCTTAAAACTTTGTTAGGCAAATTTGTTGTCTTTGATATCATCGCCCGTGTTCTAATTTAAGCTCACTGACACTCACACTCAATGAGGGGATAGTCTATATGGCGCGGGTCGCGAGTCAATAGAAATGGCGCGGGTCCAGCGAAAATGGCGCGGGTCCAACGAAAATGGCGAGGATATGAAATATATGAATGTTCAGATGAGTGTATACAATATCGTCATACACTCAGAATATTTATAACTCATCTACTCGTTCAGGTGCATCAGAGGAAAATTGCACTAAAAATCGCAGCAAAAATTGCATGCAAGTATATAAACGAGCCTAAAGGAAGCGTGATACTTGCTGCTCAGTGTCTTGAAATTGACTTGCATGCAACTATTTTCCCTGCATCTTTATTATGCATATACTTGCAGGTTTCTGGATAAATTAACTGAGATCCCAAGGATAGTGCAAAGTTGATATGACAACTGACCAGAAAGCACTAAGGGGTGTGCACACTATAAGGGGCCCATAAAGCAATGCCTGGCACACATCGACCCTTTATCGTGCATGGTCTGTATTATTATAGTCTGTATATACTGCAGAATTTTTAATTGATTACTTTAGTATGCTGTTTACATTTCCAGAAATATAATTTTACCACACACACTAACGGAACATAATGACAAATAGCATACAGTCAGTATAAACTATAGTGTAGACTGCAGAAAATGTATAAAATGCAGAATACATGTATAATTTGCTTACTGAAATTGCAGACTTTGCATATAATATGCTGGCTTTAAAAAAATCATTAATAATTCATGAGGAAAATACAAAAGAAATGAATGTTTAATCAATGTTTGTAAATCGGATAAAGATTTGTCCTGATTTACATAAACTTCAGCTTTGATTTTCTCGGCTTAGACAATGTTTATTTTTAAAATTTCTTCGCCAATGAATTCAAAAGATGGGTCGTTTTTTAAGCACGTTGTCGCTAAAACATTCGCATCCGATCTTTATCTGATATACAAACTCTCGCCTTCGGCTCGTATTTTAACTAGTACATACTGAATAAACATGACTATATCGATCGTTAGCAAATATAATGCACGAGCCTTCAATTTCCTTAATTTAAAATCAATCGCCCAATTTAGAAATCAAAATCACTAAAATATTTGTGTTGCGTGATTGAAATGTATAAGCTTTGCAGCGCTATTATTTATAGAACTACATTGACATATAAAGCGCTTGATCAGAGGCTTACGCATATGCTTGGGTTGAAGGGCTTAATATTCAAGACAAAATAACAATAACTAAGTACGTCTTATGTAATAATTTAATCAGGTTTTTATATAAATGCAGTAAGATTTGCCCGTTGTCAGAGCCTGTGATCATTTCATTAACTGCCATCGTTATTTAAATATAAACATTAAAGAACCATCGTCTCTTTTTGCATGCCTGTGGTCCGGAGCAAAATTTCCATTTTACAGTTACAACAATATGGCAATATAAGATGCGAGTTGTTTATACTTATACGACCCTTAATTATAGGTATTGAGTTATTAGTATACGGTATTGTCACTATTGAGTTATTACACTGGCCTGTAGGCCAAGTGTCTTAAATCCCTCTTTTTCTGTTTTTTTCGTAGTCGAGAAATCGAGTTTGCGTTAGCGCATCGCAGGCTCAAGGTGCAACGATTAAGCCAAAATGCCATCGATTCCCTCCGTTCCATGATTCAAATACAATAGCAACAAGTTACGTATTTATGTACGTACTAGCCGACTCATGCCATGCTTGTGGTACATTTTTCGTTTATTAGCCTATACACTTGTACGCACGCGCACAATTCCGAACTGCAATGGCGGCTTTTCACAGAGTGATCAAACTATATTTTACACAGTTTCGTTGAATTTTCAAAGAATTGTGCCTGGTCCTATGTATTT